GATGAGTCCCGGCTGAGAAGCATTCCTCTGTGTGGGTGGCAGCCCGTGCTGCACATGGTCTCTGAGGCCAAGTCCAGTTCTTGGCACAGGCTGGCAAAGGGCAGCTGTGTATCAGGGGTAGAAGCTGCCCCGTGGAATTTTAAACATCATTTGCATCTTTGCTGCCCTCTAACTCCCTTCCCAGTTGCACACTAATTAAAGACTGCTTCCTCTACAGCAAAGATGCCTTTGACCTGCTGCAATGTTCTCCTTTGAATTCAAAGTCTGCTGTGCATTTGTAGCATTAAAAAAAAACCACAAAAACTGTTAGCTGCTCTGCCTCTTATTTCACTGACATGTTTGTTTTTCTGCTGACATCTTTCTGGTGCTTTGATGAAGGAGCTTCGCTCCCACACTCCTTCCCTGTGGCTTGGGAAGCACTGAGATGGGTGTTTATTTATACAGTCTTTGGATCATTAGGTAAAAGGGGCAACACACTTCTCTTTCTCTCAGCAACAAGTTGAAACAGGTGCCTGAGTGTTGCTTCTTAACTTAGCTTCTTGTCAGCACACACTTGAGTCTGAACAATTGTAGCGCATCCAAAAGGGCACTTCCCTGTCCTGCTTTCCCAAGTTATATTTTCCAGAATTGTTTTACCTTAACTTGGTAGGCTGTCAGCTTTTAAATGGACTTGTGTATAGAACTGCAAAGGCATTTTGTGCTAAAACCTTTGTGTAAGAAACTATGTTTGCTAGGCCGGGCATGGTGGCTCACGTCTATAATCCCAGCACTTAGAGAGGCCGAGATGGGCGGATCACCTGAGGTCGGGAGTTCGGAAGCAGCCTAACAAGCATGGCGAAATCCCGTCTCTACTAAAATACAAAAATTAGCCGGTTGTGGCAGGTGCTTGTAATCTCAGCTACTCAGGAGGCTGAGGCAGGAGAATCACTTGAACCTGGGAGGTTGAAGGTTGCAGTGAGACGAGATTGCGCCACTGCACTCTAGCCCGGGTGACAGAGAGTCCATCTCAAAACAAACACACACACACAAAACAGAAATTATGTTTTGTTTAGGTTAGAGATATGTGGAAACTCATGGGAAACTAATAATCGAAATTTTGATTCTAGTTAATAAAACGGAGTCTCAGACAATGTCATTATGTATTTCCTTACCGATTTTTGAAGAAAGTGTTAATTTTTTTATTGAGGCATATTTTACATACAATGAAATGAAGATCTTATGTGTACAATTTTTTTTTTTTTTTTTTTTTTTTGATTTGGGGTTTTGCTTTCGTTGCCTAGGCTGGAGTGCAGTGGTGTGATCTTGGCTCACTGCAACCTCTGCCTCCTGGGTTCAAGCAATTCTTCTGCCTCAGCCTTCTGAGTAGCTGGGATTACAGGCACGCGCCACCACACCTGGCTAATTTTTGTATTTTTAGTAGAGACAGGGTTTCGCCATGTTGACCAGCGTAGTCTTGAACTCCTGACTTCAGATGACCCACCCGCCTCAGCCTCTCAAAGTGCTGGGATTACAGGTGTGCACCATGGCACCTGGCCTATTTTGATGAGTTTTGATCAAAGGTATACCCCTGCGTAACTGCCACCTGACCTAGACATAGAATGCTTCCATCATCTAGCTCTCTAGTCAACACCTAGCCCTACAGGCAATCATGATTCCAAATTCTATCATAGATAAATTTTTCCATTCTTGAATCTGTCATGCTTTATGTATGCTTTTCTGCAACGTTCTCCTGTATTTAAGCAGCATGTTTTTGAGATTCATCCATGTCTCTGTACTGTGGCTCATTCTTTTTATTGCAGATTAGTATTCTATTACATGAATATACCATAACTTTATCCCATTCTTGGATATAATTTTTGTTTATACATTCTTCTGTTGGAGATTTGGGTTGTTTCTGGTTTTTGACAATTATGAATAATGCTGTTAAAAATGGTATTTTAAAAATCTAGTAAGTGAATAGCAATGGCCAAGTTTTCCAATGTCTTTTCCTTGCAAGCCAGTTCGATCATGGAAATAAAGCCACCATCCAATAGGTTTGGATAAGTGTTCCTTCGAATGTACTGCTGAGGCCCCCAAATGAGAGGGTTGCCTAGTGACAGATTTTGTTTTAAACATGAGCTTGTTAAAAGGCATAGCTCATAGCATTCTTTGAAGGAGAATTCTCAGCCTAACCTAAATCATCACACACATCAGAATAATCAGGACTCAAGTTTCCCCAAATGAGGTTCACGTAACACCAGTGGTGGTGACAAGATGAATTTTGGTGGTATGTGGACATTTTCCTTTTTTGAGATGGGGTCTCCCTTTGTCACCCAGGCTGAAGTGCAGTGGTGCAATCATAGCTCACTGCAGCCTTGACTTCTTATGCTCAAGTGATCCTCCTGCCTCAGCCTCCTGAGTAGCTGGGATTACAAGTGCATGCCATCATGCCCAGCTAATTAAATTTTTCTGACTTTTTTTATGTTTAAGTGTTCCTTTTTATGGTTATAAAAAAAGTATATGAGGAAACCATCACTTGCCAAAAATTTATGGCAAGTGATGGTTTTCTCCTTTAGAGTAATAGAGAGTCCTTTGGCAAATTTAAAATGATGAAAAACACTTGTAGAATTTTAGTTGAAACTCAAATTATTGTGAGAACCACTGGCATTATGGTTAAGATACAGTGTTGTGCTAATGGCCTCTTAAGGGCTGTATGATCTGCAGCAAGTTACTCTCCCAAGTTTGCTTCAGATATGTTAAATGGGCTATTAGTACAGATTTCACATATCTGCTATGAGGGTTAAATGATAATGTATATGATACTCTCAGCTCATAGTAAGCAGTCAGTAAAGGGAACTGTTGGTATTTCAGTGCAAGAACCAGCATGAGGTAGACAATCGAACACTGGCCAGGGATTAATGATTGGAAGAGTTACAGGACTGTGGTCACCACTTCTGATACTCATGGACTTCAAAGGACATAACCTTAAACAAGTGTACACAGGCAAAAGACATACTCTGGCAAAAAGAAAAATCTCACATTCGACTTTCCAAGTTTAAGATATCAGTGATAACACACCTCATCTATCCCTCTCTTCTAGGCAAACTCCACACCCTAAACCCCAACTGCAAAATGTTCAGGTCGTGTAGCAGCAAGGGATGGAGGGAGAATGATGAGTAGCAAGTGGCTCTCACCTGCTACTTGACGCATGCTGCAGTCACCCAGGGAGCTTTTCAACAATATTGATGCCTGGACTCCAGCTCTGTGGTTTTGAGTGATCAGGGTGGGAATCCAGGTGACTCTTAATGTGCAGTCAGGATAAGGAAAGCCTTGTTGAGCTCACTGACATTGGCTCAGTTCAGCCCTGACCCTCCAGGACAGGGTGGAAGTGGGCTGAATTCCATATGCTACTTAGTGACATAAGGAAATGTCAAATACAAAGTTAACTTTGTTTTAGCAGAGTTTGTTTATTCCCGCACCTTGAAAGAATAGTAGGCCCAGCTTTTCCATCAACGATGCACTTCTGTATCACTCAGGCTGTGTCTGCAGTTTGTCGTCTCGGGTCTCAAGGAAGGAGTCAAATGGCATTAGATCTTCTGTCCAGTTCCCCATGCACAGGCCTCTTTCTGGCTCTGTTAGGTCTGACTGGAGACCCAGCTGAGTTATTTTCAACCCAACTTTGGATCCATTTTTGAAATGCTGCCTGTTACAGCATTACCCCAAACTGATGCAGTCAATGAAAGAAACGGTTATTGTCAATTGGCTTGGGCTGGTTCCGATTCCCTTGTTTTCCTGAATCATGGAGTGAGAGCCTTCAGCTTCAACCCAGACCTGAAGATATCAGGTTCAGGGAAGTCAGTGACTGGAAACTGAAGTGGTTACGTCCCAAAAGTCCTGATGCCAGTTCCTCAGAAACATCTGGTGACCTCTATCAGCTAATAAGGGCTGTCTGCTGAGCTCCACCAGGTGTGACACAGCCAGGGCTCAGCAGCCGGGCAGTCAACTCCACAAGCTGGCTCGTGTGTTCTCCAGAAGGCGCCTCAGAAAGGCTTCTGGCTTGCAGACCTTAGGAACCTTTGCGCTCGCACTGGTATTTCCATTTCACTTTGGATGCTAATCTTGGGCTGCTGTCCATTCGGCAAGAAAAAGCAGCTTTCTCTTGGGTTTCTTTCCATATTCTCACAAATCTAAGTACAAATGTTTTATTCTGTGATTTGTATCACACTTGCAGGGTATTTTGAGCTAAGTCAACACTTCTGGGTTTGACTTGCCATAGGGGTTAGTTCCTAGTATAGCTAAACTAGTTTCTAGTTTTCCACAATGGGCACTGAACCAATGTGGCATTTCCATATTTGCACCAACCGATCCAGGAGGTAGGGCTCAAGAGTGGAAACCGAAAGACCTGAGAAGGCCTCAGACTGGGCCTGGTGCCCCTCATTGTCTCCACAGATGGAGAAAAGCTTCCAAGTAATGTTGTGAGGTGCTATGGGGACCTCTGTCTACCCTATCTGTGGGACTTTTTCCCCCTACTCCATTCCTAACCCAGGAATTACTGACTCATGGAATTAAGATAAATAAGTTAGAATTTGTTTTGGTTTGTTATATTGGTGCCAACCAAATAAATGCCCAACCATTGTTCTTATGAAGTTACTGAGTTCTTAAAAATGATGCCCAAAAAAGTATCAGTTTAGTTATGACCAGGCTGCCAGATGTAATTTGCCTTAGGTGAAGAGTGATGATATGTACATACGGGTCTGAGAAAAACATAATAAAACTGTTAAGTGCACTAGGTTCAAAATAGATTCCAAGAAACAAAATACCTAGAAAAACAAGAGGAGGAAAGTTCATAGCTTAATTCTTTGGTGTGGTCCATCTCACAGAGTGTATTAACTGTATAAAACTAGGAAAAGTCCAAAATAGTTGGATATATGTATGTTGTTTCCTACATGCAGTTACATTTATGTTTACTAGATCTGTTTTTCCATATACATACAGAAAATTTAAAAAGAATAGAGAACACATTTCCAAGGATGAAATTTCCACATTTATTTTTCTTTCATGTGCATAGAAAATGGCAGTGAAGTGTCCTATGAACGAGGCGAGGAATGGGCATGGCGCTGCGGTACCAGCCTGGACGTTGTGCTTCCAAAGTACACTATGCATGGTGGAGACAAAGGACGTCGCAGTTTGATTTTAATTGCTCACAGTTCCTTGGGCTTCCCATTTCTTTTTGAAGTTGTCAGTTTCTTCAACTCTCTTTTCAAGTGACACACTGCATTACAAATGATGGCACTTAACCAATGTGGCATTTCCATATTTACACCAACAAAAGAAATTTACAAGACATAATAGCATACAATCTTGACATTTAGTAATAGCGATAAAACATGGGCATCCATTTTATTTTTTCTGTACAAACTATCAGAACATAACTTTATTCACATTAAAAAAATCATCTTTAATTGGATTTGACCTACACATCCCCCATTTCATTTCACCCATTTCTCAAACCTCTCATCACGTCACCCACACCTTCACCAGACTACAGAATCTACAAGTAATTAGATCTAACAACTAAATAGAGCTTAGAAAGTCCTCTCCCAAACATTTCCTCACTTCCCTGATAATTCCTCAAAAAAGAAAAAAAATGCACTTCACTCATTCCTTCCACTTCACTTTCATATTTCAATCATCAAATCAGCAAGACGGACTTCACCTCAATCCAAACAAGGTTAGAAAGAAAAAGTTCCTCTGTCGGGCGTCTTGATGCTACACCCATGAGTCCGGGGACCCCGGGTACTGTTCTGCTCTGTAAGAAGGTCGTTTAGTGGAATAAAAGTCTACATAATTTGTGGTTGATTTCAGTCCATACTGTGTTGAGTAATCAGCAGAAGCTGGAAAGTGAACTCGGTCATCAAAATAAGGGTCTTCATAGCTATGAGGAGACTGCAAATACAATCTGTACGCATCAAAGTTCTTTCTGTTGGAGTCATCTTGACTATAATACAGCTGTTGATGCTGTTGACAAAATGAAAAGGCAAATAAATAAAAGCATTTTTTTTTAAAAAAGACACGTGTTAGGAAAATTAATGTGGGCTTCCTGCTTCATATTTTTAAAGCAGAATTCAATATTTGCAGCTTATGGTTAAAGCTGTTTCTGGCGCACACTGTGTGTTTACCATTGGACTCTAAGGATTGCACGCTACATTCTCAGGCGGGCTCCTGAGTTTCCTGTCCTAAGACCTCTAGAGAAGTAGGTGCCTCAGGAGAGCCTGAGCTCTCAGGGCAAGTGGCCCCAGCGACCTCCCCTCATTACTGGAGGCCCTGCTGTCTGCTCAGCTGTGGAGGGACATGTTACCTGGGCATGCCAAATGAGAGGATGGTTTCGGTATTTTCTTTGACATAGGGTATTAGTATATCACTAATTTAGTCGAGGATTGGGTTTCTGGGCCTTGGATAACTGTATAATTACAGAACCATCTTTTAAAACATTTACTTCAGATATGAAGATTGAGTCCACCCCTCCATTTTAAAAGATGTATGTGGCTATGTGAACAATAGTCACACTTTAGAAACTCTGCTGTAAGTCGTAATATTAAAGGAATCAACAATCTCAAGGCAGAAGAACAGTAAAATTAGGAGAGATATGTGAGCAAATACGGTTCTAGAGGAAAAGGCTTCCTCAAGCCAAGGCTAAGTCCATCTGTAAGTGGGCAAGGCAGGTACACAGGGGTGCCCACACAGGGCACCCTGTTCTCCATTTCCTTTTGTCTAGTCTTAGCTTTGATCTCACGTTAATTTCAAATTGTGATGGTTATTATGTCTATCTTCCTGCTGATGCCCAAATCCCCCTACTTAGTAAGATGTAACGAATTTATCACCCAGGAATCAATGTCATGTCCTGGAACTCAAGGCATTCTAACATTATAAGGATTTCAGAGCCAATTCTCTTTTCAAGCCTGAGTTATGCTTCTGGTCTATTTTTCCTGACTAAAAAACTATAGCATCTTTTATGAATAACTTAGAAAGTACTTTTTCTTCCATCTACAGAGAAAAGATGATGAGGAGCGGTCTTAGAGCACATCCTTATCTGAAGGACAGAAAACAGTCTTGTTTTAGGAAACTCCAACTGCTCCGTGGGATTAAAAAGGAAGAGGAGAGACCAGGTGGTCCAGGTTTGCCGTGGCATCGGGAAGGACCTGAAACTGACTGCAGGCCCCTCATGAGAGCAAGACCTAGGTGTGTTACAACCACCAGTCCCACAGTTCATCCTGACAGGGGCTGAGTCCAGTCTGACCACTGAGACACAGAGACCTGGCCATGGACTCAGTGTTTTTAAATTGTGGAGCTTGGACAGGGAGGGGTGAGATGGAGAATTAGGTATACACAAAAGAAAACAATATGATGAGGGTATGACGTGTGCTTACCAACCTTCCCTCCCCCAGAGGCTAGAAGAGATTTTAGAGCTGAACAGAAAAAGAGTGGGAAGAGGACCCTTTCGGGCAAAGGACATGAACTAAAGACTTCTCGGCTGTTCCCATCAGTGGCATGGTGGTCTCAGCAGTACCAATGTGGACATTCAAGAATGTGAGGCTACCGTGGAAGTGCTTTGCTTAAACCATGGATAAATTTCCAAGGAGTAAAGATCCCCAGGGAAAGCTCCTAGGATCCTGCCGTATTGGCCCAGCTCTGGGAAGTCAACCGACGTGGACCCCTTACTGTGTTAACTGCTAATCGGCCTTCTGTAAAAATGATATTGCAAATTCACCTGTAGCCGTCTATTTTGTTCTCTTGCTGGTGAGGAATAGGAACTGATGTAAATTGGTGAAGGTTTGCTGGAGCCTGTAAGAAAATATTTTATGAAATTAAAACTAGTGCTCATTACTCTGGTCCATTAGACTGGGTGGTCTCCCCTGCACTAGGGATAGTGCTGTCCCCAACAGGGCCTGCCTTCCCCAGTGCCAGTGTGGACTGGGAGAGGTGGCAGCCCCAGGTCCCTGGATCTGGCCTGGCTGCTGCTTACCTCAGGGCTGGTGGGGGCTAACAGCAGAACTATGGCAAAAACAGGCCGCAGGTGTTTTCCCAAAAAGCAATGCCAGTGCAGAGCCCATGCACAAAGGGTTCCTGCTCAAGCTCTGCTCATATGTGGGAGGGTTTCTCCGGCTGGCTTTGGACAGCAGCACAGGAACCTGAGCTGAGGAACACCACTTTTCCAGGGCTCTGAGCTACAGCAGTGGGTCAGAGAGGAGAAGCGGAACGCAACTTTCGAACAAGCCCCATACCTTCCAAACAGCTGGGATTCAAAATCTGAGGTCAAGGAAGGAGCAGGCCTAGGCGTGTTCTAAGCAGCTGGGCCACAATGGAGACACTGTCTTGTGCCTGCCATATTTAAGTATGTTTGAATACAAAAGGAACTTGGTAACAATCAAATTGCTTTTAAAAGTCCATTGTAGACTCCTGACGATGTTACCCTTACATTATTGTTAAGGCTAACAAAGATTTTATTTTTTTAATGAGGAAAATGAAACGTACTTGAGGCAAATTAGTTTATTGAAGCAAGCGAAGAAGATACAGAAGGGCATGCAGGCTAAGAGGCGATCTTTAAGATAAAGCAGGCTGCTGCAAATCAGAAGCAACCAAGCGTTTCAGTTGGTATGTGCATTTCCTTTTGCACAAAGCGTGGTGTTGAAATGTAGCATCTGCAATTTTCTGAGCTATTAATTGCCATAGTAACAACAGTCGATTAGTAAACAGTCCTGTGAAATCACAATTTCAAAGACAACAGTCCAACGGAGACTGCTCCCCCAGCAGGAGTAAAGCTGCCACCAGCTTTTATTTCTTTTTAATATGCAGGTTTGAGAAAAGAGTACCTTTTGGGGGGTAGCTCACACTGACTTATTTGAAACATCTAAAGTAGTTATAATATGCCAGACGGTTGAGAATGGGAACAGTATGAAATCTTAGTAACCCTCTGGGCTGGTATCCTTTAAATAAATTGTATGCACAGCTTTCTCAATAGGATATAAAAATATTAACACTATGTAACATTATTTTTGTTATTCTTAAAAAATAATCACTTTGAGAAGAATCACATTATACCTTTTACTATTTATTCAAACTCTTCTCCATGAAAATGTAAATGAAATTGATCTCCATTCTCTGGTTTGAATTTGAGATGAGCCAGTATAGAAGATGTGGCCCCTACAAAGCTATACCGGGCTGAGGGTTCTGACGCATGTGGAAAACACAGAGATAGCTGGAGCCAGGAGGGGACGGAGCAAAGGGACTGTGCCAGCAAGCAGCCAGGAATGATTTATTTGGATACAACCCTCTTTTTATTTGTGGCCACCGTACAACTACATACACACATACATACAAACAAACAAGTACATGCTTGTTTTACTTTAAACAAGCAGAAAAGGCAACAATTCCCAAAGTAGGAAAGGGAGAGACTGGAGCATGGTTTGCTGCTGGGGGACCGTCTCAATACAAGCAAAGGCTACTTCCCAGGCCACTGGCCAAGTGCCTGGAAGTGGGGCTTTTCAAGAGACTGTATCACACACCAAACTGGTGTCTTACCAGGGTACAGGCCTTTATGTGTGGCATCCCCTTGGCTATTGTAATACTGCATAGGTGGCTGGGTCCTATCGTATTCAGAGCGAGGGTCTCTGATTCCTAACAGTGCTGGTGAGGAAGAGGTGCTGCCGACTGAAGGGAGAGGCAAAGGAGGAGAGAGAGAAAGAGGGGAAGAAAGAGAAATCAGCATCAGTGTCTGTGGAAAAATCACTCCAGAAACACAAGGGTCAGTAACTAGAAATGCCACACAGCTGGTGCTGAAAATATCTCAGAGGCGCTGGCTGGGAGTTGAAGAGCAGCTAGACCCAAGTACCACAAGTGCGACCTGCATGCGGGCCTACCACTGCATGAATCAGCCAAGTCCACACCTGGGCTCACTTGAGCTGGAGTGCAAGCCATCCGGCCGAAGAGGCAGAGCGGAGAGATCATGCAGGTTTCCCCACCAGTGTGTCTCAATGGCTTGACTAGGCCTTTGAAACCGAGTGAGTCGTAATAACTTTCTAGCCATGCAAGAGTTATATTTGCTATTTTATGATCTCAGTTCAGTTGCTTGTAAAACACCCATCTATTATCCTTTATGTACAGCTCTTCAGTAAACAGAAGTTTTATGACACGTTTTGATTTCTAATTATTTCAAAAATATCCACATCTCTAAATGTATTTGAATAAGAGCACCCAGTCTGTAAAATTTATAATTCTTTTTATGGTGATCAGGGAAATGATTTAAAAACCCAGTAAGCCTGGCTCATTAAGAAACACACACGGAGCTAAGCCTTGACCTCACCAAAGCCCAGAAGACTTTTTTACCCCAGCTTCAGCCAATATCTAATAACACCATTATCTATCCTTAGGACTCTTTTTGGACACTTTTGCAGAGAAGGAAGAGACAAACATTTCACATACATTTTTTTCTTTTTCTCATTAAAAAAATCATCTTGCTTCCCCTAAAGTTAATTTCAAATAAGAGTGACCATTTATTCACTTGATACACTTAAAAGCAATAGTTCCCAAACACTGGTACCGGTGGTTTTGCATAAATTGATGCTTTCAGAGGAAGACTGCCAATGAAATACTTTTCCTAAAGTCATCTCACTGACATAGGATTGCTCAGTGGAAAAAATGTAAGCATGTATGGACAATGTCTGTGTGCTGCTCACCATGCTTACTTTCCAGAAGGTATTAGGACAGAAAGCATACCTGTGTGCCTCCAACATGACGGCAAGGCATCCGACATGCCCAGAAGCAGACCCCACACTAGTGTGAAGGGACGCATCATCAGCCCTTAGAATAACTGGAGAAGCAGAAGTGGAGAATTCCCCTACCTCTGACTAGAATCCTAAAAGGTACCTAGGAATTTGAATGGGACTAGCCAACACTGTCCAGCATGTATTTAAGGGGTCCTGAAAACAAGGTCACTGCTCAGTAACTCTGTCATAATGATCCAGGGGTGTTCAATCAATACACTAACATTAATGATAACTGAGCTAAAAAAAATTGCAAAACGAAATCTCATAATGTTTCAAGAAAGTTTTCAAATTGAAGTTGGGCCGCATTCAAAGCCATCTAGGATGCATGCCGCCCATGGGCCACGGGTTGGACAAGCTTGTACTAATCTAAAACGTGCCTTTTGTTCCATAGCCACACCTCTTGATTTCCCAAGACCCTAAAGAGTTCTGAGCATTTTTCTAAAAGAAGACAGTTTTAGGCTACACCTGGGAGCTCAGCAAGGATGTTAAAAACCAGACACATAGGTTCTTTCAAGAAAACAACCCATTATTTAAAAACTAAGATACAGGCCAGGCACGGTGGCTCACGCTTGTAATCCCAGCACTTTGGGAGGCTGAGCTGGGTGGATCTCCTCAGTTTGGAGTTCGAGAACAGCCTGACCAATGTGGAGAAACTCTGTCTCTACTAAAACTCCAAAAAAAAAAAAATTAGCCTAGCCGGGCATGGTAGCACATGCCTGTAATCCAGCTACTCGAGAGGCTGAGGCAGGGAAATTGCTTGAACCCAGGAGGCGGAGGTTGTGGTGAGCCAAGATCGCACCATTGCACTCCAGCCTGGGCAAGAAGAGTGAGACTCCATCTCAAAAGAAAAAAAAAAAAAAAACACAAAAAACTAAGATATAAATATATACCATACACAGTAGGCACAGATAATTTAAAAAAATTCTAGTACAAGTGGGGACATCCAATTATGCGGCAAGAACCACTGGCCAAGTACATTAGTCTTTTTGGCCACATTTGTCCACATGAAAAATAAGACTGCCAACAGCAGCACTGCTGAATAAACAGATAGTATTTCCATGTCAGAATGGGTGATTTAAAGCCAAATAAAAATAAGATACTTATTCCTTTTTCTTTCTCACTTTGTAAGAATTAGATTTACAGGACTGATTGGCTTGGCAGTAACAATCTGCCCTTACATGTAAAAAAATTTAGTCTGAATCTCAAAACATTCTTTCTACCAAGTTAAACACTACAAAGAAGTAGCTAGTATGGTTGCCAGGATTCCCGACTTAAAAAAAAATTCCTACAGACCCACCCTGTAAGGCCTGCTCCCATTACCTGCAGATGCTAGGGGTCTGCAGAGGAAGGAGGTTTAACTCGGAAGTAGGCAGCTTTCCCAGGCTGCGGATCTGAAGACCTTAAAGATCCTCTGTTAAAGGACCCGACCCTGCTTCTAAAAGGTTTCACTAAGAAAACTTAAAACAAAAAACACTTTGGAGGAGATTCCAAACTCATGGCCAGCAGGCAGACAGGGCAGCTACTTTTAGGCACAGCCCAGTGAGTCTTGAAGTGTGGTCCTCACTCTTGGGCACCCCTATCACTTGTCTGCCCTGTCAGCTGTGGATTTCAGGGCCCCTTCTCACACTTAGTGAGGCAGACTTGAGGGCGGGGCCTGGGGCGCTGTTGCTGATGTAAACTAGTATGAACTTTTAGAAAGGAAGAAGAAAGTGGGTTTGTGGTTTATAATGGTGTGTGATTTCTACAGAAGGCACTCTGCTGCATGGGTAGTGTTGGAGGTGACAGGCTTAACCAACTGTTTGATTTTCTCTGGCTGGGAAACAATGTTCTGTCACACAAAGGCTCTCACCGGAGTGGCGGTTTCCCACTCACCTGACTGAATGATGGGTGACATCTGTTGGTTGGTGGTAGACAAGGAAGGATGTGATTTGAATCGGTCTCGCTCCAATGTCGACACAGGTGTAATAAAATGGTTCTGATTCCACCCATCCTGCAGAGTTAAGAGAAAAAGAAACCTCTCAAAATGAATAATGACATTTCATTACAATAAATGATTACGAGTATGTGCTCTGCTGAATGCTAATTATGCCAGAGCTATTCTTATAGGTTACCTTTTTATAAATGCTCCGGAGGTCCCGATATTGCCATAATGTATTCAAGACCTGGGCTGCTGCCTTCACCACTTTCAGAGATGATCTAGGGAGAGAGAAACGATGTTAATGAATGTGGGCAGCACAGCCTCAGCCCCACTCGGCGGGGTGCAGGATGAAAATCAGTCACTAAGGCCGTCTCTCTCAGGGCCATGGGGACAGAGACTACTCCAGGACACACCACAAAGTGACCAGGTGTGCCCGGGAGTCGATCAGGTTCAGAACTGGCCGGAGGTGGCAAGAACTGAAGCGAGGCCATGAGGGAGTGTGCTCTGCAGAGCAGCTGTGGCTAGGATGAACCTGAGTTGAGGATCTCTCTAGGCGTCAATCCCAACATCCCTCCAGATCTCTACTGACGGCCAGTGACCTCACTGGGGCTTTTTGATTAATGCAACCATGACTCTACATTCTGAATGTCTGGGAACTCTTCCAAGTGAATATGTTTTATTCCTCTCCTTTATTAAGCCTTCATCTAAATGCCTTCACTGCCTCATCACTTCATACCTCTCTGTCAACAAATGTGTGTTCTAATATTGAATTTGGAAAACAGGGTCACAGATATTATGTCCTCTCCCTAAGGACATTTTGCAAATGCTAGTGCTGTTTAAGCACTGCCAACCATGAGTCACTGGATTCACCTTGGGAGCCGCTGCTCGTGGCCTCACTGGTAAGTGAAGAGGGGACTTCCTGCCTTGGCTAAGGCCAAGATCGCTACAGATCGCTACACTGGATGGTACTCATGGGCTAGTCCTTGGGGAGTCAGCCCTAAGGACAACTGAACACCTCTGCCTTAAGACTTCATTGACAGTTTGATTTCAGATGTATACACCAGATCTAAAATATGGTTTTCTCTTTTACTCCTTATCTTCCTAATTAAACTCTTACGAAGTGGGGGAGGACAAGGGAGGTAAGCAGGCAGTGAGCTACTTTCTCAGCCCCTAATAACAGAATGTGGGTTGCTAATAATTTTGAGGCTTTAGGTGAGCAGAGCCAGGTAAAACCAACCCACTCAAAGCCTTTTCAACCTTTATATTCCCAAACTGGACTATGGAAAAGCAAGAGCTAAATACCTCAAAGAAATAAACAGAGATGAATTTTCAGCACCCAAGACGGCCTTTGGAAGACAGATTTAGGGCAGCAGGGCCCTTGCCTTGCATAGCTACTCTGTTCTCAGCGGGGCCCAGCCATTGCTGCTTTGTTCACCCATCTGTCTTTAAGTGCTAGGTAGCGGGATGAAAGCTCAAAAGGCAGATCCCACAGCTGCCTGGGAAGATGACAGCTGTAACATTGGACCAGGCAGGGCTGTGCCAGTGATATGCCTTGACAAAACCAGACAGGCTACATATTTTCAGACATGAATTCCATGAGCAGAAACACGACCCTTAAGAAAAGCAAGAAGGTTTCTTTGCTATCTGTTGCAGCAAAACTCCTTGAAAGAGTTATGTACTTGCATCTCTAATTCCCCCCATCCCATCTTCTCTTAAACATAGGACCTCCATATTGTTACATCTGAAGGGCAAGTTGCAGTCCTCATCCGGAGTCACTGTATTTCACCTTGGGAGCCGCTGCTCTAAATCAGTAGTTTCACAGGTAAGTGTAGGAGGATGCAGTGCCCTGCCTTGGTGAAGGCCCTCAGATCATCACGCTGGAGTAGGCCTCCTGTACCCCTCACTGGCTCTGTTCCAGCCCCACTGGCTTCCCTCTGTTCCTCAAGCACGTGAGGTCTTCTCGCTTCTCAGGGCTCTCTCATTTGAGGTCCCCTCTAACCGAAATGCTCTTCTCCCAGGGAGCTGCACTGTTCCTTCCCTGCTTCCTCCAGCTCTGTGCTCAAAAGGCACTGTCTGCAAGGCCTTCCTTGACCAGCACCCCTCCCCCAGCATAGCCCACCACCTACCCTGACGTTATGACATGCCCTGCCCCAACAAGTGCAGGCTGTCATGCCACATTTTAAGAGCATAAATGATTATGGTTCCACTCACTCCCTTTCTCAGCCCTCCCTGTCCTCCATAACCATTTATTACTAATGAAACAGAAAAAAATACATTTTAAAAAGGGACTGAAAAAAATTATCACTACTGCAGATAGGTGTAGTTTCTGGGAGGTGAGAATATGGTTTTAGATTATTCCTACATTTCAGAAACTCCTTCAAAAGTATAAAGATTAGATGAGATGTAGTTCCAGCACTACCGTTTAGTCAATTAACAAATATTCACCGAGCAACTGTTATGAGCAGGCCAGGGTTATTCTAGATGCTAAGGATATAGCAGTGAACCAAGATAAAAGTCCCTGCTATGGAAGAGTCAGGCACAAGAGGAAGACATCACTTCCACAGCAAGGGGAAATCAGCGCTATGGAGAGAGCAAAGCAGGGGAAGGGAGGTGGGGGGAGAGGGCTGCCATGCTACTGTGGCTCAGGGAGGCTGCTGTCCTGCTGTTCTGAGATGGCACCAAGCATTCTACTTACCACTTCTCTGATCTGACACTAAGGCAAACTTATAGTCACTGCCACAGCTCTATGGCAAACAGCCTTCAATTTTTACCACTGATTTTCTAGTCCTTCCCTCCTGTTTGATCAGTTAGGTATCATGCAGAAGCAAAGGGAAATGTGCTATCTAAGCCTGGGGCATATCCTGAGGCCACACAGCAGCCCTGTTGCAGAGCAGTCATTTTAACTGCTTTCTGGGTACATGGCAGGAGACTCAATGCCAGAACTGGAGATTCAAGAAGACGCTCTTGCAGGACAGGCCCTCAGGCCTGGAGCAGAGACAAAGGCACAAGAATCTAGGGAAATGGTACCCCCTAGATTTTCCTTACCCTGGCATTTCTAATTCTTCCAGGAGTTGGCATGCCCAGTTGTGGCTTTAGGGACTGCTATGGTCTGAAAGTCTGTGTCCCTTCCAAAGTTCCTATGTTGAAATTCCAGCCCCCAAGGTGATGGTATTAGGAGGTGGGGCCTTTAAGAGGTGATTAGATCATGAGGGTAGAGCCCTCATGAATGGCATTAGCAGCCTTATAAAAACAGGCCTGAGATTTCTCCCTCCTTCTAACATGCAAGGACATAGCTAGAAGGCACCAGCTATAACTAGAATGGGGGCCCTCACCAGACGCCGAATCTGTCGGTGCCTTGATCTTTGATTTCCCAGCCTCTGGAACTGTGAGAACTACATTTCTGTTGTTTATAAGCCACCTAGTTCACAACATTTTGTTACAGCAGCATAAACAGACTAAGATAGAGACAAATGCCAACATAGGAGTGAAGGTGTTACAATAAAGTAAAAACTAGAAAAAGGCCCTGTAACAGAAAATGCTCCTCCCAGCATGGCAGATTCAAGTGCTGGAGACTGTTTAGCTTATTGGCATGTAAGAAATGCAAAAATAAATCCTTTCCAGTAGGAAAGCTATCCTCAACAAAGGCCTCATCACAGGACAATCCCAGGAACAAGAGTCCTACTTGCACCTCCTTGCTGCAGACTTGCCTGTCGCCCCTGCCTTTGGTTATGTTCACCAGCTTCTCGATGCCTCCCGAATCAGCCAGGGCTTTGGCGTTCTCCATGTTTTTGCTGGTGACCTCGTGTAGAGCACAGCAGATGGCTGCCATGGTCTCATCAGACAAGACACTGGGGCCGTTGCCACCGGGAAGCCGGTTGACCAGGTCTCGCATGGCGTATTTGCCTGCCAAAGGCAAAAGAGTAAATTCTACTTCCAGAAGGTACTAGGTTTTTGTTACTGTTGTTCAGATTCTGGTGGTGTGTAATCCTTTAAAAATAAAACCCCAAAAGAGACAATAACAGGTGAAAAAATCCAATTCCATGAGCAGAAACCCGACCCATGAGAAAAGCAAAGCAGCAGCAAAGAAGAAAAAGACAAATGTCATTATAAGGAGAAAGCTACCATTTACTGCAATGTCACTTGCAGGAATGATTGATTTATAAAACATTACTGTCAATTGCTGTAAGCAAATGTAAATCAGTATGTAAAATTGGGTAGACAAATCAAGTTGCTTTCATTCAAGTATTTTCAGTAACATTGAGTAATGAAGGAATTACAATAGAAAATTTTATCCTGGATGGAATTCCTATGCATCACAAATACCTCAATTTCCTCTTAAAGCTTGTAAAAACTTACCTTTGAATCTGGACCAAGTCAGGCTGCCAAACAGTACTTTTCATTAGATCTTTCTGGATCTGAATGTGTGAACTGGGTACAGTTACACATTTTCATGAAGTATAGAGCTGAGGTGTACAGCAGCTGATCTGACAACTGTGGGAACATGTTAGTTTCTTCAAAAGATGACACAAGTAAAAGTTTTGGTATTAAAAATTATAGGTATGTTATATCCCAGGAGTAACGCAATAATAATGAAATTCTTGCTAAGACAAGGCAAGGGGAGTCTCACAGTTATTGAGGTATTTCTTTATAGATACTGAATTTTTCTTATTCCGTGCCAAAAAGAGATTACTTCCAGCTTTTGCAATTACGATTACCAACTGAAACTGTAAGTGCACTACAAACAAAAGTACTGAATTAAAGTGCAAGTAAATATTTTCTTAGTTTTTCCTCCTAGGCTAATAATGGAGTGGATGCTAATTGGGGTTTTTATAAAGGCCTATTTATATACAACAGTAAGCAGAAGACAGGTTTCAACTACATGCTGTGTAATATACAGCAGGTCGGAGGGAGGGCTCTGGCTTGCTCACAGCAAACACTGTTATGAAGAGTGGAAAAACAGTGCTGACACTGTGAGGCCACAAGATAAATGTGGTTTTCAGAGGAGATGATAAGTTAGCACTGGTGATTCTGAATACTCATGAATGACCAAAAGGTGCATGACATGTAATCTGTCATTTCACTAAGGCATAACTTTAAATTGCACTCCTGGGGGTTAGGCTGAGGTAGCTTGCTCTGCCCGTGAGTGAGCCTGGCGGTCCCCTCAGAACTGCAGCTCCAGAGAGCAGGTGGGTCCCATACAGTTGACTATGTAGTAACTTTTACGAAGTGACAAAACTTTGATTCTTTATGAAAAATGGCTCTAAAAAGAAAGTCCTGTTAGTGTTGGTGATGGATGTGAAAAGACAGGGAAAAGGTCAGAGACGGAGAAGCTTCTTAGGCACTGAAGTGCTGGATAAATTAGAGCCAAATACTGAATCCGGGAGGGGTGCAGATCTCATAGGGAACAGGGAAACCAGAAAAACGATTTATCGAACAGTTCAAGAGTGCTCCAGCCAGGTGAAAAAACGCTCATCACTGGAGAGATACGAGGCCAGTGGAAGTTAAAAAGGGTTACTCACAGAAACACAGAAATGCACTGGGAGGAAGCCGAGACTTGGAATACACACCCCTCTTGCCAAAGGTCTCAGCACTTCACAGTACTAGCTCAAGGCCTCCTATCTACCTGCGTCTTTGTGTTATATGATAGGCCACAGGATATACATGTCAATCATTTATTTTTCAGCATTAAAAATGCCCAAATTATACATGCTTCTTATAAGAAATCCAAACATTACAGACATAAGAAAAATAACTTTAAAGAATCTTTCTTTAGGGACCTAAAGGACTTCTTTGAAGGAAGTGTGGGAGCTGAGAGACATGGCACATCTATCAGAATCAGGCGTGAGCTGGGCCATGAACAGGATGTGAAGGAACTCCCTTTCCTCTCAGTAGGGAGATGATTTGGTTTAAAGGAATGGTGTGTTAAGAGCAGGTTTATCTGGGCAACAATTCAAAATAGCAATTCTATAAGGCACTGTGTGAAGGGCTTCCACTGTAAGTCATCACGTTTAAACCTTACAGCAACTCTTTATGGTAAACATCACACCTTGTTTCTCTCTCCTTCTCTCATGGCAGGTGAATTTAATGTTTACTTCTGATTCAGACGAATCCACGTAAGACCTTGCCCCGTTTTCCCTCCTTCTCCCCAGACCTGTCACCAGCTGTGGGACTTGGTGTGGAGCTCTCTCATTTCCTCTTTACAGCAAACCACAGTTAGGACAGCAGGCATCAACAGCTCCCTTTTAGAGATGAGGAGTTTCATTTCCAATCTAGATAGAATAATGGAGCCCGGATGGGCTTATATAGGACACCCCAGGTTACATGGCCAGTGAGCAGCAGATCCTAGGAAAAAAGCTCAGGTCTATGGAGGGTCCCTGGTCTCTTCTTTCTCCTGAATCCTGCCTAGGATGTGCCAATGTCCCGGAGACAAGCAAGCTGCCTGGGGTGCAGAACTTACAGAGGTCGTCACTTGTCGGTTTGTGCCTGTGCCAGCCCTACCTTATACAAACCTGAGCGTGAAGGCCCCCCTAAAATGTTGGGCCTTTGGGCCCTTGCTTAGCTCACCCTAGTCCTGCCCCTACCCTGGGTGAAAATGATGCTGGGACAGTGGTTCTGCTCTGGGATAAACATTTATAGTGACCTGAGAGGGAAAAGCTACAAAACATTCATGGGATTTCTTTTTTATTTAGAGTATGGCAGTGTTGGTGAATTAGCAGCTATCAGTCCGAAAATTGGAAAGGGAGAATTAAGATTTTTTTTTGTTGCTCAAGATATAGAGAACTCTCTTGGAAAAGAGAGTCACTAATTCTATTAAATAGTGTTTTAAGGTACAAGTAAAATTCCTGGCTTTTCTGAAAATTTACCTTCCCTCATCAATGACTAATGAATGAGCTTGCCTCCTGCTGAAAAAGAATGGTCACAAAACAGGAGTATTCAAATATGCCAAGAAACCGGAGGCTAGGGCTCAGTTGTTAAAAATATTAGACGCTGTATATTTAATCAAAAGAAGGGTTTCATGAATATTGCAGCTGCTTCACATTTACAGCCCATCTTGTCACCAGCACATACCTATGAGCTCCTTGTTGCGAACATCTAGTGCCATATTCCTCAGTGCAGTTGCCACGGAAGAAACAACCCTATCGTTGTCCATTCTCAGAAGTTCCACAAGGATGGGTAGCCCCTTTTCTTTTCGGACAGCTGCCCGGATGTATGCTGCAAACTAGTGAGAAAAATCAGGCAGTAAGTAACATATATAAAACAGAGTTCCACTCTCATATGTTACTATCACTTAAAAAAGATGTTTCCAAAAGATGAACTAATAGATTAAATGGTTTTTTCCAATTGAAGATCAAATCTGTGGTGCCAGTAAAGAGTAAAGGGAGAAAGATAGGCTGGGATGACTGATTTAAAAAGAAACCCCAAAGCCTGAAAATCTCAAACCACCATCTGTGAGATATTTTTGTGCAGAAAAGAGAAGGCAGTGATTACTTTCTATCTCAGATACATAAACATGATTAAGGAAGGATCGTGTGTTTTCTTTGCAGTTGGTCCCCTGCCAAGCCCAGAGGCTATAAATAGGATGGCAGAGACAGTAACCCATCAGCACACATGGAAGGAGAACCTGTCGCCATCAAGTCATTTTTTTTCTGTATTCCCTGCAACAATACTCAGAGTTCAGTAACCTGTCAAAAAGATTGCTTGGAAACATCCCTTGCCTCAGAAGAAAGGGAATTCTCCAGAAACATCCAGCATGATAATTCATACAGCCTGGTGAACAAGTAAGTGTATTTGTGTGCAAAATGCATTCTCATTCAAGATTAGTTAGCTGCTGATGCTGTTTTTTAAAAATCCATAGTCAAGAAATTTTTCTGTGACTATGAAGCAACTCTATACAGTGAGTCAGTCTGTGTATCTTACAAAATGGAAATGAGTGCTAAGTCATCAGTGAAAAAACCAAAAAGAGTAACATTAGAAAACGGATCTTTAATCTTGTTTTCGGCTTTGAGCTTTAATTGACTTTTTCAACCAATGCAAATCATCTTTCAAATTTTAGGGTAATTGAAAGATGATGCTCATAAAACATCTATTTTCCCGCTGTGGCCAAGACATGAGGGCAGAGATCTACTAGCCCTTTATATTATTTTGAACATTAAAGCATGTGATTGGCCATCCAGTTTCTTGAATACCAACAGAATAGATTATTTTAATAATACAAATAAGAGGGAAAGATGCATTTCAAAGATCCTATTTATAGTCTGCATATGAAATGAATACTCCTATTTTTCAAATCAAATGAAATCTACAGGGAGGAAATGAAGTGCGTTACTGGGCAAGACACTCAGGCAGTTTTATGAACTTCTTTCTCTGAAACCTGCAACAACAGAACCAACTCCTTCTGTCTCACTTGGAGACCCACCAGCCCGGCCCGGCCCGGCCCGGCCCGGCCCAGCCCAGCCCAGCCCAGCCCAGCCTGGTTCCTTCTGGTGAAGTACAGTCATCGCTGCTCCTGAAATAGCTTCTTACTTGATAACATCTGTGGCCATGATTATCTCATTTTCTTAGTGAAGGTCAAATATTTTAACTCACTATTGAAATCGCTTAGATATAATGTTTATATTTTAAATGGGCTTGCCATCTAACTCTCACTAAATGATCCCAGACGTGAACTTCTAAACAACTCAAATCACATCTATTGCAATTATTGTCTTTTTTATCATCATCAAATGATCCTCTGGTCACAGAAGCTGAAGGTGAATGCTGTTCTACAACATAAATGTTTATAAATACTTATGTGCTGGGAATGTCTCACTGAATCCTCACAACCATCTTATAAGGTAGGTATTTTTTCACTTTATTTTGGGGAGGTGGAAACTGTGGGCAGGGAGCCCCTAGGCTGCCAGACGGTAAGCAGAGCGGCCTGGATTCAGAGCCAGGTGGTCTGCCTCCAGAGCCAGCACTTACACACTGAGTCACTGGCACTTCAACTAGGAGCCACTACAAAATCACCACACCAGCTTAACACCAGACCATAGTTATCGGTCTATATTCGACATGGCGTCTACTTGCATGAAAGAAACCATACCTAGGCCTATCAGATGCTTTTCACTATTGTGGAAACAACATCACAAAGATTCTCATTTTGTGGGGGAGTGAATGTAGGAAAAGTAGCCAAAAGCAAGCACTGTAATAACTCTACTAAAATACACCTGTCAGGAAATTTCTAGAGGTTGAAAATGTCTCAGACAAGGACTGTCTGGGAAGTTGCTGGAGGACATTTAGAAAGTTCTGACAACTTGCTTACAGTGGTAACAAGAGGAAACCGTCTTCAGTTTTTTCCTAGTTATATACCTGCAAAGAGATGCAGAAACCTCAGACACAGGCATGTGTGTTACTGTCTGAGAGGAACACAGTGGGGTCCCCTATCCCTGCCCACAGCACCACCCAACCTGTGTTCTGTTCAGCCACTCATCATCTCTCACCTGTGTCTACTGCTGTACTGGCTCCCAAATGGAATCCCTGCTTCTAACTCCCTTCCTCTAATCCACCTTCTGCACTGCCATGGAATGGGAGAGCAGTGCTGACATGGTCTGCCCAGACTCTTTCAGCGGTGCCTCCTGTTTGTAGGTGAGGGCTCAGCTCCCGAAGTTCTGCCTTCAGGCTGGTCCATGATGCCTGGCTCCATGCCGGGCCCCAGTGGGCAGCCTGCAGTCCTGGCCCACACTGTCATGTCTGCACCATAAGACTTTGCTCCTGTTGTCCCTGTTATGTGGATGGCTCGGTCTACACCCCAGCCTCAGCCTCTCCTGGCTTATTCTCACTCATACTTACAGATTGTACTAGGCAGCAACCCCTTCAGGAAGCCTCCTCTATGTCCTCACTCCCCTCTTTCCTTCCCTTACACTGTGTGGCTGGCTTAGATGTCTTCTTTCAGGACCCCACAGCACACATCCTGTGGCTTCTACACTGTGCTGGAACCATCCGTTTTTCTCACTAGCCTTCTGTTTCTCACAGGATGGACTTGTATTCATCTTTGGATCCCCAGAGCAACTGCTTGTCTCCCTTTTTAACCCTCTACCCCCTTCACCGACAAACTAAGTAACTGTGCCCCTTTTACCATCAGGGTTGATCTGACTGAGGCAGAGGATATCCATGTAACATTTCAAGTTAGTTTGCAAAGATGGAAAGAAGCATAGACAAGTGGAAGTCGTCCTACCTTCCAGTTGCCTGCAGAGAGGTTCTGGAGAGATCCGGCAGAGCCTTCCAAGGTGGCTGGGTTGGAACTTTCTGCTAGAAGAGTCAGATATGGTTTAACCACCGATGGGTGCCACAGCATCTCAACCCCTTTGGGGGACTTTGACAGTCCTGGGATAGGACCAACTCCATCCCACTGAAAGACAAACAGCACAAGTTAAATGGAGGCAGAATGAACATGATCTCCAGTACTTGAAAACATTCACCCGTGTGGGACTCAGCTATCGCTATGCAGAAAATTTATTTTCTTGCCAAATATGTGATTCCTCACTCCCAGAAAAATGAAACTTTAGAGTCTCATATCAAATAAAATGCTAACTTGATCTTCTTGCGGAGTCCTCTTTTTCTTTTTCTTCTTCTTCCCCCAGCAGCTTGGCTCAGAGTCTTTGCTGGGAGACTCTTTTCCCAGTAAGTCATCCAATTCGTTCAGTCCCAGTAACCGGGCCTGGGGCACCTCCAGCTCCAGCCGATAGGACAGGTTCCTCAGAGTGCACACACAGTTCTCCACCGTCTGAAACCCAGCATGGCATATAATTAAAAACAACTCGGCACATTAGAGCAAAACGCTTCTGTACTGAACACTACAGAGAGGAAATAAATGGGAAATATGAAAGAACTAGTTTTTAGGTATGGGAACTTGAAACAATCTGAAGAGAGGATTTGATTCTAGAGTGTTTGTGGAATACCCAGATGACAGGCTACAGAGCCCTTCTTGGTGCAGCTGAGGATCTGACTTCCTGCCAGCTGAAATGTAGGCTCCAGCCCCAGGTTTCTCCTCAGGGCTAATGACATGCCAGGAGCCTCCCACAAACGCCTGAGCCTCACTTCTGACTACTGCAGATCCTTGGCATGACAAAAGATGCCGCCAACTCCCTCCCTGGGCGCAGCCATATCCCCAAGTTCCACGTCTGCCTCCTTCTAAATCTCCCAACTCCACCCTCCTTTCCAGCCGTGTTCAGTGGTGTCTTTCCCTGTTGACATTTGCCTTCTGTATATGGTCTTTTGTTCCCCTAAAGACTGTATCCCACCTCTGATTGGGAGGCCAATTGTCATTTAGCTGAGTGTCTAAAACCAAGTTCAGCATTTGCCTATCTAGCAAGCTTCCTTTTCCAACTTGCTTACTCAATTTCATCTGCCGATCTCCCAGTTTAATGAGGCTCAAACTAAAACTGGCTGCTCCCCTGCACTCCTCTCTCTGCCCCAGGCACTCAACATCCTTTTTTCTCTCAGGCTCACCCTTATAATCCAACACCTTCCAATGGCCTCCCCTGGTCCCGTCCATCCTGACACCAAGTATCTGGCCTGCCTTGGAACTCCTGACACTTTCAGTCCCTCTTTCCTGTTCTTCCCATTTTCCTTGGTCCCCAGGAAGATCCTGAATGGTCATCACAGCTGATGAATGATGAGCAGAACGCCCTGCACTCCATCACAGGAGGGACAAAGTAAGAGGCTCATGCTGGAGACAGACCGATCACAGGGCAGGAGCAGGAGCAGATGTAGAGAGGGGCAGCAACAGTTAGTGCTGGGGGTGGGGACTGTGGACTGTGGACTGCACTGCAGCAAAGAGAGCAGAGAGGCTGGGGGATTACAGTGCCTCAATCAGGAACTTTTATTCAGTAGATACTCAAATACTAACGGTTCTGATTCTAATGGGGATACAGAAGCAGAGGAAATAGCAGCAGGGCCACCACCCTGAGAATGAGCCTCGGAGAACCAGAGAGAAAGCCTTTACCACTCCAAGCCACTCTGTTCTCAGGATATTTTCGTATGTTGCCACGGCCTTGCCTCTGTAATTTTGGAGACTTGCCCTTTGATCTGGAGAGTAGCCTCCTGAGGACAGGTTCTACAGGTCAGAAAGAACCAACAGCATGCAAATAGTGGCACCAAGCATTGCAGTCATCTGCCACCACACCCAGCCTGGCACTGACCTTGCTGTCATAATCGGATGTGTTCACACATGTGTGGATCACATACAACAGCGAGTCCACCAGCCCCTCGCAGGACCGCATTTGCTTCCGAGCTTCTTCCCCGGCAGAGCTGAGGTTCCTAAAGGGGTGGAGACAGGAGGAGCTGCTGAGATGAAACATGCAGTCATCAGCCACATGGCCTTACCTTCAGGATCTGAGAGAGCAGACAACAGATGGCAACCACTTAGAGGTCTGAGGAGGCACTGAGGACTTGCATGGTAACATCCCTGAAGCTCATAATGATGGCTGCTCCCCATCATCTACATGGAAGGGAACCTGCACATCTGGACTTCCACTGTACCTCTCATGATGTGTCACTTTCTAACTCCCTAATGTAATTCTTTAGGGGCCGATTCTCCTGAGCTTCTTCATATGTAAAAGGGGGGAAATAATAGTGACTACCTCATAGGGTTGTTGTGAAGAAGAAATGAATTGCTACACAGAAAGCAATTAGAAAGGTGCCTGCTTCACGGAAGGCAGCCTGTGTGTCAGCCATGGTGGTGGGTACTTCCAGACATGCTTTACCTCCCTTGTTAGGCCAGAAGCTTCTTGCAGTCCCCTATTATAATATTTTGCATGCAGTAAGTAGGTGATCATTAAATGTTTCTTGGCTGAACGGAGGAAACATACAATTTCTTGTATAAACATTTCAAGTTATAGATATTTGCTTATGCTAAAATTTTTCTCATCTTTTCAATTATAAACACCCAGAAAACGGTTTTGTGTCTACATTTTTTATATCAATTTGCCTTCATAAATCGATACCAAATAAGGATCTATTTTATGTCCCATTAACAATGGTTCTAGGCTAACTGTAAAATTATGCAGATTGAGAATTTGCAAAACTGAGACTAGATGAGGGGCAGCAGAATGGCAGCTCTCATCTGCCCTGCCTCCCCGCAGCACTTCCCTTCTCTCCACAGGCTTCTGGGACCCCACCTGGCTTCTCTCTTCTCACTGCTTCTCAGCCTCCTCTGCCCATGGGCACCTCACCTCCAGGAGTGCCCCAGGTCCTGTCTTGTCTTCTTCATCTTTGCACTCTCCAAGGTGCCTCCTTCTGCTCCATGGCTTTAATACAACCTATGGACACATGGCCACAGGTTGGCACACATCTGCCTTTAGCCCTGACTGCTCTCTACAACTGCAGATTCTTTTATCCAATTGCTTTGACACTGTCACAGACAGCTAATTAGACTTCTCAAACTGGACACTGTCAAAACTCTGAGCTGCTCACCCTTCCAAGCATTCTTCTCCCTTCCCCTCATCAACAGCACTTCTGTGCTTGTGGTGATCCAGCCAAAGATCTAGGTGTATCCTTATTTCCCCCCTTTCCTCAATCCTAATATTCAATCTACTAGCAAGCCCTGTCAGCTCTTCCTCCACGAAATCATCCAAATCTGGCCATCTCTTCCCAGCACCTACTCTAGGCCACTCTCACTGTTTTCCTGAATCTCTGCAACAGCCTGATCTTTCTGTCTCTACTTCTGCCTGTACTCACTCTTCAACACTGTGGCCAGAAACAAGCCCTGCTACTCCACTGCTTAGAACACTCTGATGTTTCCCATGGCACTTGGAATAAAAGGCAAACCCCATCTGATTTACAAAATCCTACATAATCTGGTACCACTCTGCCTTTTGCTCAGTAAGCTATGGCTTCAAGCTCGTTTCTGACTCAGAGCCTTTACCTTAACCATTCCCTTGGCCTATGACTCTTGTCTTCCCCAGCACCACCCTCTAATGAATCACTTCTTGTGGTATTTCAGATGCAGATTTGAATTTAACCTCCTTGAGAGACCCCCTAACCACCAAAGTAACCCTCACATTACCCTGTTTACTTTTAGGGCACCTGCTGTAATTTTCTTGCTTCCTTGTTTGTCTTGTCTTCCTGGTAGAATGTGGTTCCATCAGAGCAGGGACCTAGTCTGTCTTATTTGTCATTGGTTTCACACACAAGGCATTCACCAAATGTTTCTATCCTGATTCACTGGGGGAGCTAGGTGAGTCCTGCCCCAGGTTTTCCCTGAAGCCTAGCTGGCTGACTGAGGAGTGATCCCAGCTCCCTGGATGATTGCTAGGCCACCAGACCCACCATGGGATGTAAGCATCTGAGTCAGGAGGAGCTGACCTGCACTCTGGGATCTCGATTCTTGTCACCTCTCTACCAACACTGTCCCCCGACTAACCCCGATAGCTATCTGTCACAATGTTAGAAGGTTGCAGACCAGCCACTTAAGCTTTGCTCCCTTTCAGGCTCTCAGTGTTGGCGAGGCTTAGATGTTAAACAGTGCTGAGTGCTCATGCGGTGACACTGAGCTAAGCACCTTCCACAAGCACCTGCTGACCCCTTGCAGCTCTGAGGTGGTATTATCATCCCTATTCTATAGATCAGGAAATGGAGGCTCAAAGGGGTCCTGGAAGCCAGGCGGTCTGAGACCAGAGCCTGCACTCTCTGTCCCGGTGCCACTCTGCCCCAAGGCTTGCTTCCACTTCCCAGGTACTGTAAGGCTGGGAAACAGGGTAAAAATGGAGCCGATAAGTGTTAATGACAAATAATGAACTCTACTGTGCACACTTAAAAGAGGTTTTATATATAGATTTTCACTGCAAAAGAATATTTGGGCTCATTTTCACTTGTTTATAAAACTCAAAACTGATTGTTTAAATCAGACACCTCTTTAAAAGCAAAATGGTTTTAACCATCACATTTTGAACTGAAACAAACAGCAGGCTGCAAACACATTAGCAATCAGAATGCGATTACCAGAAAAATGCTGCGAAAGTGGCAAACACTGGGATTTCGGCAGTCATCTTAGACTGAAAGGGCCTTTCTGAGTAAGTCACAGAAGAGTCCTTTAAAAGATAACTTCTTTAAGGCCACAAGTCAGTGCTCATAATGCTTTTCTAAAGCCCAGTGGCCTAAATTTTGAAATAAAAAGGAAAACTTAGGTAGATATTAATAAAGTAAGCCCTCCTAAAATCAATTTACCTATGACACATATTATGTAATCACAGAACTGGAAAGAAGAAATAAAGAATTTACCTCAGACAACCTGTTGTGTTACGCAGAACTAGTGAAGTCTGAAATTTAATTTTATGATCATCATCAAAAGAAGAGTTATTCCATCCAGAATGTGGAACGATCACAGTGTTTGTTAAGGTTGAGAGAGCATCTCGAATGATTGTCATTTTTACAGCATCACATGAGGATAAATTCCAAAGAACTCCTAAAGAAAGGAGATTTTAAAAATCAAATCAACAGTTAATGAGATCCTGTAGCTTTAGAAATGAAATAAACATATTACTCTAATTAATGTAAACTCAGTCTGTTCCAAACATAATCTATGGCCTATATTTGCAAGCAGGTTGGGGACAGACCTCTCTTAAGTTTTGAGTGAATACAGGAGCCTCCGGTATCATATTACACATTCTTAATATTCACCCTCTTGAGTTTTAGAGCCTCTGTATCTATCCAGCAAGGTGACTGTGGTTTTTGCAAAGCAAATTACTCTGTAAAGGAAGAGCGTCTTGAATATAATGCATCTGTGATTTTTATAAAACTGCTATTTATTGCATTGTATTTTACATTTAATGGCTGTGTGACAAACCGTTTTTAGAATTTAGTACTTGGAAAAAATATTTCTTTTTCTTGAAAGACTGGCATATTTTTCTTCGTCTGCTTCCTTTTCTTACTTCTTCTATCACGAAGCTCAAGCTTCAATAAAGCACTTGCCATAACTTTCCTGGCACGGATGTTTGCTACATTTGCTTCACCTACCTTACTTAGGTAAGGTTTAAACACTTCTATCTCAATTTTAAGTTTTATTAGTAGGTGCTTTAGATACAAGTTACTGTCACTCCTTTTTGAAAAAACGTCATTTTCACATCAGTACATCTTCCTAAGAGGAAAGGAGAAGAGAGGGTGCAGCTGGTTTCCTCTGCATTCAAGTCCCCCAGAGCCCTACACTCCTGACATATCCTTGGCAAGTTGCTTGAGTCTGTACAGTGCTTTCGCAACTACCAACACACAAAAATGCTCGTGGCCTTGCAGAGAGGGAGGAGTGGCAAAATCTGCCCATGTCCACGGGAGCATGTCAGGCTTGTGAACGTAACTGATCAAGAGCGTGGGCTGGAGACAAGACCAAGCACTGCTGCTGCAGCGTCATGGACCAAGAAGCCAGCCCCGACACCACCTGCTCAGCCTTCTCTGGGTGCCCCTGTAAAGGAGGGAGGTATGGGGAGAAGACAGGAGCTCCTTCCTTTGTGGAGGAAGGGGAGGTAGAAGCCAAGGGCTAGAAGTGAAGAGAGTGAAATAATCCTCTGACTCTAAACTGTGTGAGGACTGCCCCTTCTCAGGCCTGTCCACATGCTACAGAGGGAATGGTTGGACTGGAAGGTGATGCCTGCACTCTGGCCTCCTCTTGTGTTCGGAATCTGCGCCTACTACTCTCCTCTTTCACTTGGCTTTGACTTCTGGACCCTGCTGATTTGGTTTCCCTTGTTTCCCAAGGACTTTTACCCCTTTTCTGCTCCTATTTCACCGTAACTACAGCCTTCAGGGTATAGGGTTGGGGGAGACTTAAAACAGTTCTGAATCAGGCAAGTAAAGAACTTGCTTTATCTTTGAAAGCTTGTTCTGTTCTGTTCTTCTGTTCATGATGACACACCTTTGCTTATATAACTATCTTGGGGTACATAAAAGCTAGGATCCTGGTTAGAAGGCAGCACGCATTACGGGAGCTTATGAAAAGAACTTAAATTCTACACTTGGAGCTCTTTCTCCATGGATTCTTAGAAAATTGGCTATGCTTCTATATAAAGTGCTTTTGGGCAATGGTTTTAAACTGTGCTCCCTGGATCCTGGGGGTTTTGTTGGTATCCCGTAGGGGCAGCCATGTGAGGAGTTGGGGGAGAATTGGTCATGAGGCTCCCCATCCTATGTGACTTCATATTATCTGTGCTCAATTTTGGGCTTCAGTGTGTTTCTGTTTCAAACCTAAAAGACATTTGATAAGCCTGATGACCACAGAAGGGACCTGGGAGCTAAGGAAGAGAAACACTTTTTTGGCTGTCTGTCCTGACCAGATAACAGCAATGGAGTGAAAACAGAAGGAAGAGTTGGGCATGGCAGGGCAGGACGATAGATTCTGTCACTAACATGGCTTTAACACCTCCTGCTAGCGAGGCCAACCAGAGTCACCCAGGCCTGATGGCGCCTCCAGAAGCATGAGCCAGCCACAGTGGCAGCATACAGCCCAGAAGCCACCAGTGGGAAGAGGGTGATTCCCTAACCTCCCCTGCGGACAGCTGCATAACGTGATTCCTAACGCCATCAGTGCAAATTTTCTGTCACAGCTTTCAAATTCCTCAATGCATGGAGGAGGGCTGCATTTTTCCATAAGATATTTTCAACTTTACAGAATAAATGCATTCCAGTGAAGTCAGCTGCAAGCAAGGTTTATGGAAAGTCTTTCATACTATAATGTTGGATACATATACAGAAAATTAAACAACCTGTGTCACAGACTTCAAGTGAAAACATGACTAAGAAGAAGGTGGTTCTTCAGCATACTGGATCCTAGAGTTGATGCCCAGAAATTCTCTGATTGCTGGCAGAAAAACCTGTTTTTTGTTGTTTCTGTCTCGTCTCTGGCTACTTCTAACACCTACTTCTGGCAAGAGGCTATTTCTTCAATTTGAGAATTCCTCTGGTTTTCATGCTGGTGGTAGAATTTTGTTCTGCTCTTTTTCTTCCCAGGCATTCAGAATGACTGATGGAGTTGCATGTCATTCTCTAACTTAGTAGTAGCCAGTATATATACCTGGGATTGGACATAGCATAAATATTCATAAATCAGCATAAACAATGGTTGCATCACCATTTAATGTGGCTTTACTCTGTGGCAGGCATTGTGTGCTTTACATATAATAACTTAAAGAGTCAAGGTGCCCCAAATTAATTAACTTTCCCTTTTAAATATTTTCATAGGTTTGAAATTCTACACATTTATTTTTAAAAAATGACAAACATTTATATGCTGAAATTTAACTTTATTAGGCAAGTATTACATAATGAGGAAGAAATACCCTATCATTATCCATTCTTTTATATGTTGTGTGACATACACGCAAGACACAGAGTAGGCGGTCCAAAATACATTTTTATATCGTGCATTTGTTTTTAGATATCTTTTTTATTTCCTATCAGACTTAGCTTTTAAGTATTATTATTACCTCCCCTTCGTGCCTTTTCGTAAAACAGAGTATTCAGGAGTGTCTTTAAAGTTTGCAACTAGGGGAAGATGATCTTTAACAAAATTTGTCAGCATAGTTTTGCCTGCCTTTCACATTGAGACCAAAACAGATGGCTGCTGAAACCACCATCTTAGTTATGGGGACAGAAGAATCCAGCTGCCATTCCATCTCCCAGAATCAGAAAAGTCACATCAACGTGCCAGAATCTGCATCCCTCAAAATGCAAAACAGAAAGGAACAGTGCTGACAAATTATAAAATATAAGGTTGTTAAAAAATCTGTTAGCCTTCAGCAGACAAGCTGACTGTGCTATCTTTTAGTCAACTAAAATGACTTATTGATTACAACACTAGCCTACCACAGAAATTCAGGTTTTCATTTCTGCAACTTCAAAAAAAAAAAAAAGTTCAGAGTTATTCTTGACCAGAAAAAAAAGAAAGTTTCTATTTTTGCTAAGTATGTGGTGTTCAAGGGCCCCACAAAAAGGCAGCTTTGTTTGTCACCCTGTACTATGTGTTATTCTCCCTTTAATCCTGCACTTGGCCATGTAACACAAAGAGCTGCAACCTTTGGCATAGATTTAACTCCCCATTTTGATCAGCAGAGCAAGTCTCAAGGTACTGGCTTTTCTTCCCCACTTTCTACTCCAAAACTAAGGTTATATAAAGCCAAAGCAACAAGTTCTGGTCAACAAATAATGAATGAAAAAAATTTAATTAAACTTAAAAGCCTTAGATATAAAATGGTTGATTTGGCTTTTTTGCTCAGAGTAAAAAGCACCTCTTTTAAGACCGGCTAATAACACCTGTGTGTGAACTTCACTAAAACAATGAATGTTCTTTCCACGTTGTCTAGGGCTTCATTTAATGGGTCAGGAAGAATCTTGCTGGGGCAGTAAGTAATGAATAAAAAATACACCAACTCCCAGATGTAGTAAGACTGATGAGAAAATGAAGAGCTATAGAATTAGCATTCTCCATCAACTTGATAAACCTCTAACTCCAACATTCTAGTGCAAAATTTGCTTCAAAAATATTTATCGCCATATTCCATTATCTCCTGGTTCCCAAAGGGAAAGTTAAAAATAAACTAGAATTTGGTTGAGGAAGCTTGAGGTGTTATTTAATTTAAAGCAATTAGTTATTTGTTGTGAAGACTAAGAATATAAATATACAAACTAATTTAGAAAATATTAGGGAGTTTCATGCATATTATTGTAGAAAACACTGCTTATTCTCTATCACAGGAACAAGTACATATAATTATGAGTAACTAATAATCACAATGAAATACTGCCATGAGAGATGAAAGTTCATTTTCCCCACAAAGAATAAAGTAATTAAAATACCATTTCACATAAATCCTACGCTGCACAATTTTGAAAGTGCTCACATTTAAAACTAGCTTTATAGCTATTCTAATGGCCAACTGATAATTTTATAGTCAAATTAGAAGCTGATTTTACTGATTAATTAAAATAATAGCAACTATTTGAAAAATGTACTTCTTAAAAGATATTAAAAACTAACAAAACAACATTTGGAAAATGCGATTTCTCTGGTGGCGTATACCCATGGTAGCCTACACAATTGTTTTTCTTTTTGATATGAAAGACAAGCTTAAGCCCTTCATTTTTATACAGCATTCAATTTATGCCATGTTTCCTAATTGTATTAAAAGAACCCAAGTGTTTGCAGACATTGCCAAAAGAAAAAAAGCAACAGCCAAAAACATGCCAGTGTGCTCTAAACATCATCACTAGATGGGCCCCTGCCTTTTCCTTCCTGAGTGAACCTCGCTCTGAGTGCTCTGGGTTCAGTCATGCTCTTTTACAAGCTGTTCATGAGGCAGACAGGTAAAACTACCCAGGCTCGGCTGGGCGTGGTGGCTCACATCTATAATCCCAGCACTTTGGGAGGCCAAGGCAGGCAGATCATCTGCGGTCCAGAGTTCGCGAGACCAGCCTGACCAA